GCCATTCAGAAAATTCTTGAATGAACAATGACTGCACCCAATGCTGACAGGTGTGGGAACCGGCAGGGGAGATTCCTCCATTCACCGTTACCTCAAATCAGAGACTACCCAGTGCTACACTACAAGTTGAAAACACCCACCATTCACTGCATATAAATGTGGATATCAGGGGAAATGAGTATTGCCTTACAGCCTGGTCATATATTTTTAGACAGATCAGATCACTTCATGTGTATCCAGGTTTTTTTCCGTCAAAAAAACACAAACTTTTTTTAAGCCCCCCCATTCCATTCCTTCTGTGCTTGTTTATTTATTTTCATTTCCTTCATATATACCTACCCATACATACCATGCATACATACGTCTATTCTGGGGTCTTCTGGCCAATTATGTGATATCTCAGGGTCTTTCTGTGTTGATGTGATGACATCAGTGCAGCTCTCTGCAGTATTGTACTGTGCACCCAGGCAGACATGGTGATGTGTACATGACAGTCTGGGCTCAAAATAAGTGGCCCATGTAATTCAGTCCAGAAGAAGAATGACAAGGGGCACCATAGACAAGATGAGTACTGCTGTAGAAGCAATATTTTTTGTAAATGACTGAGCAATTTATTTAAACTTTTAAACTGGAGTTTTACTGCATACTGGATATTAATTATGTCTGCATTCTGTAACAATTGTTATACTATATTACAATAAGAGAAATATATTTCAAACACATTTTGTTAAAGAAATTTCAAGCAAATTATTAAAAACTTCCTAATAGAAACAAAACAAATGCATACTATAGGTCACCTGTCCTGGATAGTAGGCCCAAGTGTACTTAGTGAATGATGTCTCCTAGGGTACATCACCATACTAGTGTTGAACTGATTGAACAGCTCTCATTTTTATCTTTAATTTTTTTGTGTGCATGTGCACAGCAGAAGTCTGTAGCTACTTTTTAACAATCTGAACTTTTCATGCATGTAGTATGTAGATTAAAGTGGTCTCACACTTGACATTATGGCAGTTATAAAGCAGCGGAGACACCATTGGAACTAAAAATTGGGTATACACAGAAATAAGTTATTTTTCAAATAGTCAGGGAACGCTACAACTGGCAAAAATAGATATATCTTTGTTATTTGGCTGATGATTCTTTTTATAGTTCCACATTTCTTCTAGCTACACAGGTTGTATTATGTATTCTATACTTTTACAGCAAGGAGTGAGAAGAAGCTTCTTAGAGATGTGTACCATGAATACTGGGAGTTGTTAAGTCAGCTAAACAGAAGCAAAGGCAGAGGTCATTGTCTATCCAGGACTAATGATCTGTAGAGGAGTAATGTAAGAAATAAGTAAGTGCATCTGGCAGATTTAGAAAGTATTAACTGGTAGGGAAAGTAAGAATTCTCACACCATATCATTTAATGCATGTCTGTGCCTCTGGTGTGAAGAAGGTAATGGATTTATTGGATGTGCCATTTCACCTTTGAAGCCTTTGTCCTGTATTTTCAAGACTGCGTACATCCATCATGGAGCTGATGGTGTGACACTGAGAAAGTTTCCATGGGGAAACATAAGGACTTAGAAAAGTTATACGGAAACACTTATTTCCAGATCTATTTACTCTAGCTGCAAAAAGTAGGATTTTAATTGGCAGTTCTATTAAAATCATTTGAAACTATATGTGAGGGTGATCTTAATGGATTTCATTTAGGCAGATTATTTTTTAACTTGGGTTTGTAAACTTCAAAAAGCACACCACAAACAGAACACACTAGAGAATAGCTAAGCAATTTGATCATGCCAAACCTTGACATTTCTGTATAGTGTATTCTAGATCTAGAGGAGAATACAGGACATACACTAACCCCAAAACAAAGTGTAATAGATTGCACAGATGGTCACTGGGAATAAGTGATCTATAGATTAATCTTCCTCTCTATGAAGCCCCACTGGGAGCCAAATTTACAACCTATAATCATATTTTGACAGCTAACAGAGAACACTGTGGTGGTTGACAGCTCCGGTTTTTACTGTCAAATTGAAACTCTCAAAGTAGTTATTGATCATGTGATCACTATGTCAGCTATGATATAGTGATCACATGTAGGCTGGAGGCTTTATTAAACAAAACATTAAGTAACTTAACAAACTATCAGCCACTTGCAGATGTCCCTTCCGTGTGTTTCTGTTTAATACTGTAATCGGCAAATGCAATTACAGTATTGTATATAACAATATATAAATATTACATAATATATATTGTTAAAAATGTAAACATTATTTAGATAAATCAGTCATAGAGTTTTAGTCAAGTTAACCAGAGCATACTGCCCCTGCTAAATAAGGCCTAGCATTTAGGTTTAAATGGCACTTTAGTATGCTTATTAAAGTGTAGGAAATCCAAAGAAGGATCTTTGTAGAGTCTCCAATTGAATGAAAATGCCTTGCTGGCAATGATGTGAAACTTAGCAGAAGGAGATTGATAATAAAGAATAAGTAGAGCACCAACATCTTACTCTAATAATAAAAGTAGTTTAAAAATAATTTTACTCAAGCATTTTGAAAATTAGTGATTGAGCATAAAAGAAGCATCACAGTTGTGAAACTTTAAAACAGTGATGAGGCAAAAACATTATACAGAAAAACCCCAGGAAGAGGGGATGGCTGTGTGTTTCCAGAGCTGCACAGAGACTTGACATCCACTGGTTGTGTCAGGAATGGTCTTATCTCTGGTAGTGCTGGGACTTACCTACCTTGTGGGCTGCAGTAACAGTGCTGGCCAGCAGGTGCTCTCAGCAGCCAGTGTCTCACTCCTGCAACCAGGCCATCACCTGAGGCTGATTGCAGGAGGTGAATTAAAGCAGGACCAGGCTTGCAGTTAGTGCCTTGGTGTATTGCTCCCTTGTGCCCTGTATCCTGCCTCCTGCCTGACGCTCCTGCTGGACTCTGACACTGCTTGAACTCTGCCTGTACCGACCCCGGCTATTCCTGACCACTCTTCTGCCTGCTCCTTTGTACCTTGTCTGCCCGTTAGCTACCGACCCGGCCTGCCTGACTACATACATATTTATATCAGTTAAGGTTTGGGTTTTGTTTGCACTTCGTTGTACATATTTATATTAGTTTAGGTTTGGTTTGTTTGCACTGCGTTTGTGTATTGTATAGCCTTTAATAAATTATATTGTTTACACCTTACTTGAAGCCTGCGTTTCCCTGTGTCAGTCCACACATCTCTGGTCATACCCAGATCCCTGACATAACACCAAGGCCAGTCCTGACCAGAAGTGGCAGGCACAGGGAAGCCATCTTGGCTTGTTGTTGTGAAGGATGCATCCTGAGGAGGTTATGTACTTGTATCTGCTAGTCTTAGATGACAGAGAATATGCCTATCAGACTCTGAAGGAGTATGCCAGGGATCAGCTGCTAGAGTGCTTGCGGGTCGCTCATTCCCTTATAGATCAGGGCACGGAGTTCTCTGAGGTGCAACCGTTGATCCAGGCTTGTGCTGAGTTGGCTTCATCTAGTACCCCTGAAAGCAGGAATGACTTTTTTCCACCATTCAGTACTGATCAAGTAGAATCACTGGTATGGTTGTTGGAGGATGATCCGGATTGCTTCTTGGAGCATTATTCAGCATGTTCACAACACGTGCTAGTGGATTGTATAAACGCAGTGCAGTCTTTGGTCAGATAGGCTTTGTGTAAGCTGAGCTTTGTTCAACCAATACTACAGACATGGTCAGATTTGTTACACCCAGCCTTAGTCAGCTTACAACAACCCAGTCCTGCTTCTAATTATTCCTCTGCTCAAAGCTCTCTTCCTTCATTCCCCACAGCACCCCTAGTTACAGCCCAGTATACCCTGCTATCAAACACATGTCAGTACCCTGTTCCCACTTGCTGCACCTATCCTGCCTTTAACCCTGTAAAGAAGTCCTCTGTAGAAACTGCTCCCTTCTCTGTTCAATCCTCCAGCTCTTCTCTGTCTTTAGCTGCTCCCTTCATTTACAGCCCTGCATTTACTTGCAGTGCTTCAGTAACTAAACCCAAGAAGAAGCGAAAATTCTTTCCAACCAGTACCATCCTGCCAGTATCCAAACCGGTCAGCCTGCTCTCTGAGAACCCACCTTCCGTTGTCCAGCCTGGTGCCCCGGTGCCCGCTGTTCAGCCTGATGCCCTGATGTCTGATGACCCAGTGTACGCTACCCAGCCTGATGATCCTACCCAGCCTGATGATCCTACCCAGCCTGATGATCCTATCCAGCCTGATGATCTGGTACCCGCTACCCAGCTTAACGATCCTATCCGTCCTGATGACCCGATGCCCTCTGTCCTGCCTGATGACCCGGTGCTCGCTGTCTTGTCTGTCCTGGCTGATGACCTGGTGCCCGCTGTCCTGTCTGATGACCCGGTGCCTGCTGTCCTGTCTGATGACCCAGAGCTCGCTGTCCTGTCGGATGACCCGGTGCCCTCTGTCATGCCACATGCCTTGACGCCCGCTGTCCAGCCTGATGCCTTGATGCCCGCTGTCCTGCCAGATGACTCGGTGCCCGCTGTCGAGCTTGGTGACCCGGTGCCCGTTGTTCTGCCTGATGACTCGGTGCCCGCTGTCATGCCAGATGACTCGGTGTCCGCTGTCGAGCTTGGTGACCCGGTGCCCGCTGTTCTGCCAAATGACTCGGTGCCTGCTGTGGTGCCAGATGACTTGGTGCCCGCTGTCGTGCCAGATGACTCGGTGCCCGCTGTCGAGCTTGGTGACCTGGTGCCCGCTGTTCTGCCAGATGGCTCGGTGCCCGCTGTCGTGCCAGATGATTTGGTGCCCTCTGTCGTGCCTGATGCCTCGGTGCCCACTGTCATGCCAGATGACTCGGTGCCCGCTGTCGAGTTTGGTGAACCGGTGCCCACTGTTCTGCCAGATGGCTCGGTGCCTGCTGTCGTGCCAGATGACTCAGTGTCCGCTGTCGTGCCAGATGACTCGGTGCCCGCTGTCGTGCCAGATGACTCGGTGCCCGCTGTCGAGCTTGGTGACCCAGTGCCTGCTGTTCTGCCAGGTGGCTCAGTGCCGCTGTCGTGCCAGGTGACTTGGTGCCCGCTGTCGTGCCTGATGCCTCGGTGCCTGCTGCCTCACCTGATGGCCCGGTGCCTGCTGCCCGCCTGATGGTCTGGTGCCTGCTGCCTCGCCTGATGTGCCTCCGCCTGCTGCCTAGCCTGATGTGCCTGCTGCTGCCCAGCCTGATGTGCCTCCGCCTGCTGCCAAGCCTGATGTTCCTCCGCCTGCTGCCCAGCCTGATGTGCCTCCGCCTGCTGCCCAGCCTGATGTGCCTCTGTCCGCTGCCCAGCCTGACATGCCTCTGTCCCGCTGCCCAGCCTGACGTGCCTCTGTCCGCTGCCCAGCCTGATGTGCCTCCACCCGCTGCCCAGCCTGACGTGCCTCCACCCGCTGCCCAGCCTAATGTGCCTCCGCCCGCTGCCCAGCCAGATATGCCTCCGCCCACTGCCCAGCCTGATGTGCCTCCACCCGCTGCCCAGCCTGACGTGCCGGCTCCTGATGCCCAGCCTGCTTCTGGAACTCCTGTGTCCAGCAACCTGCCTTCCTGCGGTCTCCTGCAAAAAGATAGGCCTATCAGCAGGAGACCCAGCCAATCGCTTGATTCCGGCAGTGGGATGTCCAGCCAGTTACCAGACCCAGGCGGTGGAACATTTGGGCCATTATGGACTGTTTGGAGCATCCTGAGGCCGCTCCTTGGGGGGGGGTACTGTCAGGAATGGTCTTATCTCTGGTAGTGCTGGGGCTTACCTGCCTTGTGGGCTACAGTACCAGTGCTGGCCAACGGGTGCTCTCAGCAGCCAGTGTCTCACTCCTGCAATCAGGCCATCACCTGAGGCTGATTGAAGGAGGTGTATTAAAGCAGGACCAGGCCTGCAGTCAGTGCCTTGGTGTATTGTTCCCTTGTGCCCTGTATCCTGTATCCTGCCTCCTGCCTGCCTGACGCTCCTGCTGGACTCTGACACTGCTTGAACTCTGCCTGTACCGACCCCGGCTATTCCTGACCACTCTTCTGCCTGCTCCTTTGTACCTTGTCTGCCCGTTAGCTACCGACCCGGCCTGCCTGACTACGTTTGTGCTCCATACATATTTATATCAGTTAAGGTTTGGGTTTTGTTTGCACTTCGTTGTACATATTTATATTAGTTTAGGTTTGGTTTGTTTGCACTGCGTTTGTGTATTGTATAGCCTTTAATAAATTTATTGTTTACACCTTACTTGAAGACTGCGTTTCCCTGTGTCAGTCCACACATCTCTGGTCATACCCAGATCCCTGACAGGTTGGCCATGCAATTATAAAGTAAAGTTAAAAAAAAAAAAGCACACAGATGAATATTGGGTTATAGTGTTATTTTGCTAAAGGCAAATAGACTGCTTACTTTGCAAGGGGATTTGCTGAGTTTAATGAAAGCAAAGCTTTGCATGTGATTGGGTATTCTTCACATAGTGAAATTTTACCACACTCACTGAGCTCTGGAGCAATTTCTGTGCAAAGTTAACAACATATTTGCCTTTAGTAAATCAACCCCTATGTGTTCTGCCCTTCCTAACCTTCAGCCCATAAATACCTTATTATTATTTCAGCAACTCATGAAACGTGGCTAGTAAGATGTGAAAAGAATTGTTGGATATGATATGTCAGCTTTTACATTGAAACCAATTGTTTTTTATTGTTATTTTTAGTATCTTTCTGTGTTAAAACATGTAATGTTTGGTTTGATAATACCATCAATTAAACCAATATTTTCTCTCCCTTCACTTTCCACCTCCTATTGCATTACTGTGTCCCTTTGCCTTCAGACTGAATACTTTGTTACCTGTAATGGATTTCCAGTGGAAGAAGTCTTTGTTAACACTATAATTAAGTGGTTCTTGTACAGATCGATCATTATTTCACACAATAGACTGCAGCACACACTGCTACATGAGAACACTAGCAGTTGTAGACATTCAAGCAGGGGGAAAAAAAACAGTGGCGAGCCATTGGAGCACGATTACCTGTTTAATTAAAACGTTGGTATTGGTTTATTGTTTAAACTTCCCTTTAAAACAATTCAAGGGCACTGTGATGTGTGCAGAATGTGTGCTTGGGCTTTGTATATACTGCCTCTGCACTGCAGGCTGTAAAGATGAGCCAAGATCCTGTCAGTCTATGTTGAATTAACAGAAAAAAAAGCTGTGGTGTTAGTGCTGACAGAGAGATTTCACTTCTATTCAGCAAGGTGACTGGTAGTTAAATTGATTGGAGATTTCGCAGCAACACAAAGGTTAAATTTTTCAATAGCAACTGAATGCAAGCTTTGACATCAAGCATATAACAACGATTTTCCCAGCTACCCTTTACGTTGTGTTTGCCATTTAATAAAAGGGAATAAAGTATTCTTTTTATTATGTCACATTAGCGTTTTCTCTTCTTTTTTTTTTTACATAATGCTGTGTTATAGAAAACACGCTCCTAGGAAATCAACACACACAAAAAACATGCCCCCATCAGCACATATAGCTTTGGCAACATATTCAATGCTAACTATGCAAACCATTTCTGCTAAAGAATCCTAAAGTTACTTATAAAAAACACCATGTATGAGCACACATATTTGCCAAGTGAAATGAGGAAACAGTGGAAAGTTCTCTCCCCTGGTAGTCAGCTCCTTGTGCTATCCATTTTATAGGAAAATATTGTATATTAATAGATATGCCAGCTTTCTATCTAGATTTGCATGTCTACTTTGAGCTTTTTCAATATAATTGGGGAATGATGTAATAATGAATGACACAATTGAATCAGGAATTGTTACACCATTGCTTGGCACTTAAAGTGGACCTTCAGTTACTTTGTCAAGTTGCTTCTATTTGACTTCCCTCCCCCCTCCTTTAAGACAAATAGAATGAAAAATTAATTTTCTATCTATCAATACCAGGTTTGGACTTCTACCTACGTCATTCACATAAGCAAATGATGTAGGAGGCTCTAGTTCTGTTGATTCCTGAGATATTATAATCGCAGATCAGAAGGCAGACAGGCGTAGGAGGCTGGAGGTGAGCTGTATCCTAGTGTGCATGTGTGGCATGCTGTACGCTTACAGTGCGTGCTTGAGATTTAGCATTGTGGATGGTGCAGAATCAGTCAAATTCCCAGAAAATGAAATGCCCTGGCTTCAGCTGCCCTCAGCTAACAGTGACATATGCAGTGGCATATGCAGGTTGGATTATTAAAACTGGTGAGTGCAAAATCTGGTGCAGCTGTGCATGGTAGCCAATCAGCTTCTAACTTCAGCTTGATCAAATAAAAACCTGGAAGTGATTGGTTTCTATGCACAGCTACACCAGATTTTTAACTGTCCAGTTTTAGTAAATCAACCCAATAGAGTGAGTGCAGTTAAAGGGCAAAAATGTTTAAACCTACTACAGGACAATTTTATGGTACAGTTCATAGAGGCCCTTACTAGGAAATGCTCTGCTGGACCTGGTAATCTCAAACCATGTCGAGCTTATTATGAATGTCCATATAAAAGAACACCTGGGTAGCAGTGACCAAAACAAGATTTCATTTATTGTTAGCTGTAAACAGCAAGCACATACGGGAAAAAATAAAAATGCTCAATTTCAAGAGAGCTAATTTTCCAAGGCTGAGAGCTACTCTCCAAGACTTAGACTGGGAGGGAATATTGGCATTGATGAACACAACACAGAAATGGGAGGTCTTTAAAAAGACTGTATGTGAACACACTGCAAAATATATTCTCATGGGGAACAAGTTTAAAAGGCTAAAAATCAAACCTATGTGGCTTACGGCCAAAGTTAAAAAGGCTATAGATAATAATAAAAGAGCTTTTATTAAATATAATAATCAAGGAACGCTATCACCGTTTACTCACTAGCCTACAGGGCACTTATACCCCTTTCCTGCCCAGGCCAATTTTCAGCTTTCAGCGCTGTCACACCTTGAATGACAATTGTGCGGTCATGCAATACTGTACCCATATGAAATCTTTAGCATTTTTTTGAGACAGATAGAGCTTTCTTTGGTGGTATTTAATCACCTCTGATTTTTTTATTTTTTGCTAAACAAACCAAAAACCACTGAAAATTCTGCAAAAAAAAGTTTTTTCTTAGTTTTTGTTATACAATTTTGTAAATAAGTGATTTTTTTTTCCTTCACTGATGTGCGCTAATGATGTTGCAGTGATGGGCACTAATAGGCTGCACTGATGGGACACTGATAGGTGGCACTGATAAGGAGGCACTGGTAGGTGGCACTGATGGGCATTGACAGGCATCACTGATGGGCACTGAAAGGCAGCATTCATATATGGCACTGATAGGCGGCACTGATAGGTGGCACTGATAGGCAGCACTGACTGACACTGATAGGTGGAACTGACTGGCACTGTTAGGCGGCACTGACTGGCTCTGTTAGGTGGCCCTGACTGGCACTGTTAGGCGGCACTGACTGGCAGCACTGACAGGCACTGATAGGCAGCACTGATTAGCACTGATAGGTAGCACTGACTGGCACCGATAGGCGGCACTGACTGGCACTGATTGGCGGCACTGATATGTAGCACTGACTGGCATTGATAGGTTGCACTGATTGGCATTGATAGGTAACACTGAAAGACAGCTCAGATGGGCACTGATATGTGGCATTGATGTGCACTGGTAGGCACTGATATGTGGCATTGATGTGGCACTGATGGGCACTGGCAGGTGGCACTGATGAGCACTGACAGCTGGCATTGATGGACACTGACAGGTGGCACTGCTGGGGCTACACTGATCATCAGGGCACACTGATTATCAGTGCCCTGATGATCAGTGCACATGTCCCCTCTGAGTAAAGCCGATTACCGGCTCTCCTCTCCTCTCGAGCTTTCAGCGTGACAGCTCGTTAGGAGAGAAATGCTGATAACCGGCATTTTCCTATTTACATGTTATCAGCTGTGATTGGACACAGCTGATCACATGACCGAACCGACATCTTCGGCTCTTTCTGTTGATCGGTGATCCACTGTGTCCAAGGGACACAGTGCACCACCGATCGCCGAGCTGCGCGCTCCCGAAGCCGCGCATGCACAGTTAGAATGGAAGGACGTCATATGACGTCCTCCCAGAACGAGAGAACCGCCTTGCGCCCGTCATTACCTTATATGGTGGGCGGGAGGCAGTTAAACATTACAAAGAATATAACAGAATATGCAAAAAGGAAATAAAGGCTGCAAAAATTGAAAATGAACAACAGATTGCAAAAGATAGCAGGACCAACCTCCCAAAAATCCTTCAAATATATTAATAGTAAAAAGGTATGGTCCGAGCATGTAGGCCCTTTACAAAATAATCTAGAGTGGGTGACTGGGGACAAAGAGAAGGCAAATTTATTTAATACCTTCTTCAGCTCTGTGTATACAAAGGAGCATGGGGGAGCTCTTGTCCA